TCACATCCGTAAATGCAAGTTTCTCTTTATCTTGCAGAAATGAAAGATGATTATTCTTGGAGTTAGCATTTTTTTAAAATTGTTATTCTTCTTGCTGTTGTGTGAAAAACCCCACACAAATGGAAACAAGCAAAACAGATACAGAAGTTTTCTCATCTCTCTTTCAGTTATAATAATCTTAGGTGTTACTTGTAAGTTGTAACATTAATAGGTCAGCTATTCAGACAATGTGATTTTTGAATTGACAGTACCCTTTTAATTACCCATGGATTTTTCCTACCATCTTTCCTTATAATTCCTATACTTAGTTACAACTTTTAAATTAATGGAAATTTCATCAAGAAGTCTTGTGCACGTACAACAGACCAGACTCCGTAAAACATAAGGCATCATAATTCTGAGTTGTCATCAGAACGCTTCCTCTCTAGTCAACCTTTACTAGAATTCTGCACAAAATTGTAAGTTCCAGTTTGCCATTTAAATATTACCCACATCATGCAACTATTTAGGGCAGGGGTCGGCAACCTTTCAGAAGTGGTGTGCCGAGTCTTCATTTATTCACTCTAATTTAAGGTTTCGCGTGCCAGTAATATATTTTAATGTTTTTAGAAGGTCTCTTTCTGTAAGTCTATAATATATAACTAAATGATTGTTGTATGTAAAGTAAATAAGGTTTTTAAAATGTTTAAGAAGCTTCATTTAAAATTAAATTAAAATGCAGAGTCCACCAGACCGGTGGCCAGGACTCGGGCAGTGTGAGTGCCACTGAAAATCAGCTCGCGTGCCGCCTTCGGCACGCGTGCCATAGGTTGCCTACCCCTGATTTAGGGTCTTATATGACCACCCCCACCCATCATCACAGCATTTTAGCATCTGCATAACTCAACTCAGTAACCTACTCCTAGTTTCAATTTGATGAGTCCCAATATGCTGCCCTTCTTGGGGGGTGTGTGGGATGGAACCTAACACATTCAGCACAGAAGTGCAGAAACAGAACAGTCAGAAACAGCAAAGGAAAAAAACCTGCCCCATAGCACTCTCATATCACTTGAGTAATAAGACTCAAAATTAAGATCTGGCAAGAGAAAGTACCCAGGTAACAGCTTCTGTGCCAAGTTTCAAAAGAATACAAATTAGTAGCAAAATTAAACATCACTCAAACATCTTCATTTTATGAAAAAGCTAAGATAGGGTCAAAAAGGTTGAGGGTATCAAAACCAAACATACCATTCCTGTGAGAGGGGCTGGAGTTGTATCAGTGTAGAAATATGTTGTTCCACCCACAGTTTCCTTCTGAATCACCTGGCCAGTAGATGGAGGTTGGGAGACAGCATTAGTAACAGGAGTAGAGGCACTAGTAGGCACCATATAATTTGCTGGGTTTGGAGTATGACTTCTTCTTCTAGGAGCAGGAGATGTGTGAGGAGTAATTTTAGGGGAGTGAAGAGGAGAAGATCCTGCAGACAGTGACATTCCTTAAGAAGACAAGAAAATTTTCTTGAACAAATTTTTGCTTTGTGGAAATACAAAGACTAACTCAAAGCTTGAAAAACCTACCTCATCTACTTGTTCAAGGCAAAATGAAATTTTGGTAGTTGAGAAGGGCCAGGAAGCTGCAACTTCCTTCTGCAGGAAGGCAGGGAGCAGAAAGGCATAAGCACCACTATTTCTTTATGAAGCATTAAGAGGACAACGTAGCAGTACAAATGGAGAAGATACATTTTTCCCAGGAAGAGGACAGACCCAAAACCATCTGAATCTTTGATTCTTTTAAAAGGAGAGCAGGACAGTTGTGGTGGGGGACTGGAGAACATGTGGCCTAGATGTAGGAGGAGGAATTAAGATGGCATACGGAATACAGTATGTCAAGAGGGAGATGGGACTGAGAGCAGAGAAGCCTCGCAAAGACAGAGGAATAACCAAATTATTGGCATGCTTGTAGGGGCAGAACTGGTTTAGTTGTGTGCAGATAATATAGGGAATGAAAATTTGTCAATATATATTAGCCTTAATTTTTACACAAGGTAGTCAAGTAAATAATCAGGAAAGTGTTTCAATGTAAAGCAGTAAGCGCTTTAAAGAAGCTGCAGTAAGCGCCACCAGGACCCTACACCCCCTCCTGCACCCCAACCCCCTGCCCAAGCCCAGAGTTCCCTACCACACCACAAACCCCTCATCCACGGCCCCACCGCAGAGCCCACACCCTCAGCTGGAGTCCTCACCCCCCCCCCACCACACCCCCCAATCCCCTGTCTCATCCCAGAGCCCTCCTACACTCTAAATCCCTCATCACATTCAAAAGTGAATATAGATTCTACCATGTAAAATGCAGCCCATGTCTCAATTCTGTATAGCTACCAAACATGTTAATAGATATAAATGTAACTTTTGGTGACTTTCTGATAAAAAATTAAAAGAGTACATTAAGCTGTGGAATAATGTAAACTTTCTTGGGTTTTGAAAATAGCTAAAATTTCATCTGAAAAAAGTGTATTCTGATGGTACTATTAAAAGCTATTTACTAAATTTGCACTCTAGCTTTGGTTCTAGTAAAGATTTTTTAGGCAGCTCAAAAGACATGCATAATAAGTTAGGTCTGTTTCTTTCCATCAACAAAATTGGAAGATTTCCTCAGAAAAAAAAATTCTTCTATCTTTCACAAAAACCCTGAAAAAAATCTTGCGACTTTCCCAAATTCCAAAACATGTTTATCTTTAATACGTCGTCTTATGCATTTTTTATTTATGTGAGCCATATTAGACTTCTGGCATGGCAGCTTGCTCTATTGTGGCAATACATATTGTATTTTGTATAATCAAAAATGAAAATTATAAATAGATACTTCTGAAGGACTAGATTCAGAATGGCTAAATTTAATACTTTGAAGTATTCTTAAGAGGGGCTATATGAAGCCTTCCACAGAGTCCTGATCTGTTTTTTTTCTCTTTAAACCCTGCCTAAATTGTTCTAGCTTGTTCCAGAATGTGTGATTACAATTCAATTAACTCTTCCAGCACAAAGTGTTATGCTATGAAGTTAACATCCATATTTATGCTGCATAGAAAAGCAAGATTTCTCCATTAAAAAAAAGGAGCACCCACTAATAGTCTAGAGCAATTGAATAGTGGTTAAACAATTACTGCATATTATATTAAAAGACTAATTTTAACAAGAGAGCAGATATGAAGGTTCTGTATTTTCTCCCACTTTAATGTGGAGAAGAGATAATGATTTCATAGGAAACAATATACCGAGTCAAATATGGAAGGAAAGCCAATAAAATAATGGCCTACAAAATCAAAATGAATTTCATACAATTTATGTCCACTACACAATTCTTTAAACCAGGGAAAGATTTGAGTAGGTCTCTTCTAACCTATTTCATAAAATAACTGACAATTATTAATTAAAAGTATTTATTACTGAGTGATCCAAAACTATACCAAAGTAATTGCTTCAAAGAGTTTACTAAAAAGAACTAGTTCAATTAAAGTGTGCAGTTAAGTGTGCAATTAAAGACTGGAAAAGCAGTAGCCACCACTTAATGAAATAATGTCTAAGACTGCTTTATGTGGTAAAGTTTGTAAACAGCAAAAAAGTGATATTGTACTGTATATCTTGTTGGTTTGGGTATAAATAAATATAGTCCAGGGTCTGTGTTAAAAGTACGCTATGAACATCTGTTCATGTTCTCAAAACCATTCTCATGGGGCCAATAAAGCAATGTACCACCCAGCTGTGGTTATAGGTATAGTTTCATCCATTTTTTCAATGTTAACAAGATATATTTCCATTTGCAGTAGTCAAATGAATACATGTAATGTTTAGAAAGTTATGTTTGTTTAGCAAAGCAAAAGAGAGGAGGGATGGGAAACAGGAGAAAGGGAGGATTACCATTACACAATTTTGCATACTGTATTATGCTTACTAGTCAAAATTTGAAATGTGCATGAAGTTCAGCCCTGCACTTAGGTTTCAGGGCTTTGGGTAGCTTTTGATGAACTTCTGACAGCTTGAAGGAATAAATTGGTGGTCAGAGTATCCAGCCTGAAAACTAGACTCACAGAAACTCTCTCATATCAAGCCCCCTTAATGTAGTGGTAGTCTGTTTTGCCAATGCACATGTTGAGTGAAACGGTTGGAGATATGAAGGGTTTTTTTTTAAATCAGAGTTTCTTTTTATCCTGCTGGAACAGCAAATCTGTTTGTTGCACGAGACTTGCAACTTTGCTTTTGGTCCTGTGGGGGATTCCAGTAGGCTAGGAGTGTCAAATATCCAGCACATCTGATGGATTTATAAGGCTTGCATTGCGAATTCAGATTTTACATCATATCTAAACTTTCATTTAAAAAAAATGTTTCCAGCCTTCTTGGTAGCAAAGAAAATCGTCCCAACGTAAACAATGCAACTAATGTAGTGCTGTCAATGTGAGTTTGCAGACTGTCTGAACCTAAGACTCAGGGGTGTGAACCACTAACTTAACTGAGGCGTTAATTAAAAAAAGAAAAAAAGAAGAGAAAAGAAACTAATGTCAACAACTAGTGAAATGGAAAAGAGGGTAGAAATAAAGCTCACTGGGAAAAGCAGACACAGGGAAGTGCTGCAAGAAAGGAAATGTGGAAGAAAGAAAAGAGGATAGAGGAAAAAACAATGTAGTACAGAAACCAGGTTAGCATATCTTCCCATTGACTGATACTGAATGCAACAATAAAGGCACTGAATAAGCAATAAGACAGATTGTGGAGCCCCTGATCCTGTAAGTAGAGCCATTGGCTTCATTACACCTATTTACAGGGTAAGCGCTCATCCATCTGATTAGGGGGTTGCACAATTTATTTCTAAAGGTTTCATAAATGCAATATTCTACTCTTAATCTTTACACAAACCTGCCCCCGACCATAGTAAGAAAATAGTAAAGCCATTTCCATCTCCTCTATGGGAGAGTTTAAAGGTCTGAGCCTTGTGAGTGATTAACTGGTAGTAGGAGCACCAAGATACGAGCTTTGAAGAAGCTGCTGTCAAGCTGTTTTTTCATCCTCAGTGGGAGAAACCGATCTTATCTGATAATGGAGAAAGCTGGGGAGAGAGCTTCCCATTTTCATCGCTGCCCGTCATCAGCCTCTCTTATCTTCTCGCACACTATACTCAAATGTATCGTTAAGGTAAGCTCTCTCTCACTTACAGCTTATCTTGCTTCATTATCAGTCACATTTGAAATATGATCCGTGTATGCTTTGCTAACCTATACTTCTTGGTGTGAGAGATTTCAGAATGTATTGACTAATGTAACTATTTGCAAACTGGTCCACTGGAAGTCTGCAAGGAGCTGACTTGTCACATGCTACTAGCCCTCCCTCTTATTTTCAGCTTCTAAATCTCTTTCTTAGTATTTATAAGTGCAGTACCCACAAAGGATTTGTGAACTGGGGGCGGGGAAGTAGGAGCTATACATCACTTGAGGAGGTGGGAGTTAATATTCACATGTGAAATCAAAAAGTGCCTGTTACTGTTAAACTTTCACTTCTGACATTGTTTTACATTTTCCAAGTTTCATGGTAAGTGAAGAAAAGGGAAGTGACAGGAGCAAACAAAGAAAAGTCAGCATACTTAAAGCATATTCATAAATTGCTGAATTGTTGACAGTAATCTAAAAATGGCTATTACAATATTTAAATTTGTAGCCAAAAATTTAACATTGACTTCTATACAAAGTACTTGATTAAAAAGCTGGAATTCTGCAAGTATTAACTCTTACATCCACAACTGCTTAGTATTAAAGGACAGTAGAGCACAATGTTCAACTTTGCATGCTAGGGTCATGAAAAGCGTGCCTTTACTGGTTTGCTTAATCAAATCTAGTATTAGTAGTTGTCCAAGTTTCAAAGAATTGCTACCCAAGTTATAATAGTTCAAATTAAGAGATATTTTCTTCATTCATATTCTTGACACACAACTACTTCTGCTTTTTAATAAAAAGACGAATTTTATACCACAACAGTAAAAAAAGAGCAGGCAATGAAATATTGATTTTATTTTCCTTTTGTATTACAATTCACTTGGCTCCAGGCTCACAGACAATTCATGGGATGAGTGCTTTAAAGCTCTATTGTTCGCATTTAAATACTTTGTTTTAATTAAAGTGTCTTTTAACTTTGAGGATTCATATGGATAAACTGGGACCAAAAAAAAAAACACACCAACATGTTGGTTTTAATGTATTCTTCATTTCAGACCTGGTCCTAAAACTCTCTGAAGTCAATGGAAGTTTGCTAGTCAATGGGTATAAGATCCAGCTTTTAATTAGTACTTCATAATAATGCAGATGCAGTTTAGCTTGTCTCCAGCACATGTGAACTTTTTAAAAGTGGTGCAATTGTTTTAAAGCCCCACACAAAGATTTTCCACCAATTTTCTTCCTCTCGTCCACAAATTTACACTGGCACTCACCATAACCACAGCCTAAAGCTAAAGAAAAACATTAGTGATGTCTCCAGCAATTGAGGCATTCACATTCTTTTTCCAGAGATCAAACAAAAACACTGTATAAATATAAATTGTTAAAAGCTTCACCGGTATTCTAAATCACTGGGTTAGTTAAGGACATTAAATTACTGAATGTTATAAAAGTTTAAAAAAAATAATTTGCAAAAGGTTTTTGCTGCAGCAGCTTTAAATACAGAAGAGATTTGTTTTTAATCTTAAGGAGTCCGGTGGCACCTTAAAGACGAACAGATTTATTTGGGCATAAGCTTTTGTGGGTAAAGATAAGAAGTGGGTTTTTTACCCACAAAATAAATAAATCTGTTCGTCTTTAAGGTGCCACCGGACTCCTCGTTGTTTTTGTGGATACAGACTAGCAGCTACCCCCTGATACTTTTTAATCTTAGGGAGTTTTTCCACAGTGCCCATTACCACAGTAGCTAAATGAGTGCAAGGTAATTATATCTGCATGCACTAGGTTCCTAGAGAACTTTACAGTCTTCTGCTCTTCTTCCTTTCCTGCTATGAGATGGTTTTGCTTGGGATTATATACAATTTTAGGCTCTTTTCTTTTCTCTCACCTATACCCTTCTGGTATGGTTGGAAAGCTCTCAAACTGTAGGGTGTTGCATCATACCTTACAAGTGGTCAAAAGAGATTAATCTGACCTCCTTTCAGAGCTCAGCCTACTGTCAAACGCCTTCAACTGAGAACACTTTCTCTTGTTGTCCCACACTGAGACTTGTGTAGACATATCCAAGCTAGCTTTTATCTAGATAGATCAAACAGCAGTATAGCTGCTGCACCATGGATGGCAGCATGGGCTAGCTGCATGAGTTATGTACCCAGGGTCCTAGGTACAGTTGTACTCGGGGGCAAGCCTGTACCAATGTCCCTGCGGCTACATTGCTATTGTTACTCGATCAAAGCCTAACAGGTACACCTATGAAAGCTGCAATCACCTCTCCTGAGTGCAGTATAAACATACCCTTAATCTTGTGCTCTGTACATTTCATTCTCTCAGAGGTGCTCAGTTGTCTTGGTGGGTCAAGGATGGAGACGCAGTTTCAACAGAACAGGCCACTGTGAGTACATTGCCTCTGTGTTCCCCCTGCTAGCACGCAACATGGTTCTGTTGTCAGTTCAAGGTCCTGGTCCTTACCCATTTGATGGCTTTGAAGATCACGGGTCTTGAACTGTCAACAAAACCAGATTGGAAAACAGTGAAGGAATTGGAGCTTGGGGTGAGGTATTTGCAGAGGCTCATTGAAAGGCAGGCGGCTATATTCTGCATGAGCTGAAAGCCTCTACATTGTTTTCACCTTCAGCTCCAGAAAGAGGAAGTTGCAGGAATTTAGACTGGAGGTGGCAAATGCATCAATCACTGGTCAGATTCTTGTCTGAACAACAGTATTTTAAGCAAGCTAGAGGTGAAACAAGGAGATTTTCACCACTGATATGTGGTTCATCTAGGCTTAGTGAAGAGTCAAAACAGGGCTATGAGCCGTTGCACCACTTTGATGAATTGAGAAAAGCCTTCAATGAAGAGGATAACACTCTGGCTAATTCTTCAAAGCACTTCCTCTTTATGACCAGCATCACTTTGGTCTTGTCCAGAATGACTTTGAACCAGCTGTTCTTCATCCAGCTACTCATCTCGGACATCTTTGTGATGGCATTGGTTGCCTCTAGAAATGAGCTGTACAGCTGAGTGTCATGGACATACTGGAGGCAGCGGGGTCTGTGGCATATTACCAACTCTAAGTGGTCTCCTGTAGACACTGAAAAGGAGGCGGGACCAGGATATTTTCTTGTGAAAAACTCTATAGGGGAGAGTTTATGAAGAACAGCAGCTGCTCATCATCATTTTCTAGGTCCCATTGCAGAGGAGTAACTGGAACCATTGTAGTTCAGCAGTTTTCTCCAGCTATAGCATGTAAGCAGGTCAACAGCATTTTGTGGCACTACATTTCAGCACCTATGTTGAAAGCTGTAGAGATCAAGTAGTGTAGGTGCTAAGATGCAACCTGCATCCATTGTCGTGAGTAGCTAACCTTGAAGCTCTATTAGTCTTGTCTCCATGGTGCACCCCAGTACAGAAGTTGTGAAGCAGCCAGGAGTTGACAAATGTGACCTGTTTGATTTTGGCTGTCACTACATTCTCAATGCTTTTGCTTAAAACTCAGTTGCAGAGGTTTTCTTCATCCAGTGTTGATAAAGACTGGGTAAACAAATGCAGATTTCAAAGGACATTTATACCATTTTGAGAACAAGTTCTGTCAAATGCCATATCTCAAATATTTTTCATTTACACTTCTTAATGCAAGGGAAATCTCAGAATCAAAAATTAAAGAGGAGAAAGATCTATTTGGTCTTCTTTTTCCATCTTCAAGGGATGAGCAAATGCAGGACTGTTCCCTACAATGGAGACCACTCTATTTTTCTTGGGATACTATTTCAAATTTTAACAGCAATCACTGCTAGTACATTTCCTCATCCCACCTGGAACACACTTGCTCAATGTCCCTCAATACTCCTAATACCACCTTTCGGAATTATCCTAATGAATTCTTATTACTCTTCAACATTTAAATCCTTCACATGCCTTTTGAAAGTTATATTCTATTCCCCCAGACAACACACATACCACTTAGTTGCTTTTCAGCTAAGCTATACATTTAAAAAAAAAAAGTTCCCTGATGAAAAAAGCCAGCCTATACATATTTAACTTTTGTTGCTTTTTTTCTGAGTTCCCTCCAATTAATCAGCATATTTCTCATACTGAAGTGCCAAGGAACAGTTTGCAACATTTTAAATGAAGCTCCAACAGGGCATAAAGAGACAATTAGCAGCTTAGTTTGTAACTTGTTTCTAAGTGTGCTACTCAGAAATCACTGCTTATTTTATCAATTTAACAACCGAGTTCATTGTCTGTAACTTGCTGTCCTATCAATTTCACAACAGAGTTCATTTTCTGTAACTTGCTGTCCAGTATGACCTAAGACCAAGATTTTCAAAAACAGGAACCTAAAGTCAAGCTTCTATACTCTTCTTCAGGCTCTTACAAAAGTGACCAAATTTTCAGAGGTGAGGAGCAGAGAATGGACAATAGGAGTTGTTGACAGATAAGCACTATTGATGCATCATGCCACTTAGAAATCTCAATAAGAAGGCTAAAACTCTAATGTTATATTCATATTTTTAAACCTTGGCCAGATCTTTTTCAGTACTGGTATCTGCTAAGTATCTATTACGGAATCTTTCCCAGATTTAGGCATAATCTGATTTCATGTTCTACCCATATTTCTAATTTCTCTGCCCTCAATGCTATTGCTTCCCCCTTCAAATATTACTAAAATTTGAATGTTAAAGAAGGACCATGAAGGATCCTATGGCACCCCACTGGACAGTTCCCAAAGCAGATCATTTATTATATTTAGCTTAGTCTTTCCAGTAGTTTTCAATCTAGATGACAATGTTCATATGCATACCAAAAAGAGACAGTTTTCCAGTCAGATCGCTAAAGTTCACATATAATTATTGCATTATGTCATCACTTATGTTAATTTGATCAACAAAAATATCAAAAATTTTCTCAGCATGATTTGTTCTTTGCAAAGTTATGCTATTTAGTGCTTATTTTTCCATTATCTAAATAGTTAGACAGTTCTTCCATTATTTTACTACAGATTGAAGTTAGTCTTGCCAGATAGCAACTGTCAAGACTGAGCATTACGTACAACAGTTGCTCTTTCTGATTCCTCTAGAACCTCCCTAGTTCTCTATAGCTTGGTCCCCACTAAGCCCCCACTTCGCACAAAGGTAAGCCATGTGAACAACATTAATCACGTATCTGGATTCGAAGTACCTTAGTCCGAAGTGGGGGCTTAGTGGGGACCAAGCTATAGAGAACTAGGGAGGTTCT